ACTGTGAGCTGCTGAGTGACCTCAGGGCAACCACTCACCCCTCTGGACAGCGAGACCCCTCTGGGAGGTTGCATCTGGCAGGGGTCAGTGCAGAGGGTGGGGCCTCCCTCAGCACCTGCTGTCTCTGGCCCTCCACAGGGACCTCCATCGTGTTTGACATGAGCCTCACCTACATCTTGGTGGCGCTGGCAGCCGTGCTCCTGAACAACGTCCTGGTGGAGAGACTGACCCTGCACACCAGGATCACCGCAGGTGCGCCGGGCCCCACCACGGGACACCTACCTGTTGTGGCTCCCATGTGCCTGGCCGGTCATCCACTCGCCCAGTTTCCCTGAGCCTCACTCGCCTCGTCTGTAAAATGGGCACACTTCCTAGGGCTGCCCTGGGGTCTGGCCGTGGTGGGGTCTCTGTACCCCACCGCATGTCCCTGGGCCCCGCCCAAGCTCTTCCCCACACCCAGTGTGTTCTTCCTTTCCCATTCCTCCACATGGTGTCATCCAGTTTCAAGGCCTGGCTCAAATGGCGCCTCCTCCAGGAAGCCCTCCGGGTGCCCCTGTTAGACTTGTAAAGCATCCCTGGCCCTCCTTAAAGAAGAAGGGCAGAGAGAGCCTCCGACTGACTATGCAGGAGGGGCGAGGAGGAGGGGGACCCCCACCCAGTTGGCTCCACCGCTCCCCTCACTGGCCTCTCCCCCAACAGGCTACCTCTTAGCCTTGGGCCCTCTCCTTTTTATCAGCATCTGCGATGTGTGGCTGCAGCTCTTCTCTCGGGACCAGGCCTACGCCATCAACCTGGCCGCTGTGGGCACCGTGGCCTTCGGCTGCACAGGTAGGAACCGGGGCCCAGGGGTGAGGCCCTGAGTGCCCACTTCTGACCCTGTCCCACCCCAGCCCTGGTCTCCTGCTGGTGGCATGTGAGATGATGGGAGCCGGGCTGGCTGGGTGCCAGGTGTGTGTCCACCTGCATGCCAGCGTGCACACCTGCACACCCAGGCACACGGGCTCACACCCACACGAGCCTGTGTATGCAGTGTATGCACAGCGTGTAGCCACAGAGACTGTGAGGCAGCCCCTGGTTTCCCTGGTATAAACAGGGCTTCAAGGACTGTTCTGCCTTTGTCACCATGTCACTGTTTCTCTTGGGCAATGGCTTTCAGTAGGGTCGGACTCTGTCACCCAGGCTGGAGTGCAGTGGCATGATCATAGATCACTGCAGCCTCAACCTCCTGGACTCAAGCTGGTGAACCATCCTCCCACCTCAGCCTCCTGAGTAGCTAGGACCACAGGCACATTCCACCAAGCCTGGCTGATTTTAAAAAATTGTTTGTAGGGCCGGGCGCGGTGGCTCAAGCCTGTAATCCCAGCACTTTGGGAGGCTGAGACGGGTGGATCACGAGGTCAGGAGATCGAGACCATCCTGGCTAACACAGTGAAACCCCGTCTCTACTAAAAAATACAAAAAACTAGCCGGGCGAGGTGGCGGGCGCCTGTAGTCCCAGCTACTCGGGAGGCTGAGGCAGGAGAATGGCGAAAACCCGGGAGGCGGAGCTTGCAGTGAGCTGAGATCCAGCCACTGCACTCCAGCCCGGGTGGCAGAGCAAGACTCCGCCTCAAAAAAAAAAAAAAAAAAAAATTGTTGGTAGAGACAGGGGTCTCTCTATATTGCCCAGGCTAGTCTTGAACTCTTAGCCCCAAGCAGTCCTCCCACCTCGGTCTTCCAAAGTGCTGGTGTTACAGGCACGCGCCATCGCCATCGTGCCTGGCCTTACAAACTTTTGAAAGCTACTTTTTATTTTGCAAATGTTTCAAACCTACAGGAAAGCTTGCAAGAATGATACAGTGAAGTCCTACACAAGCACTCTCTCCCCCTCTCCCTCCACCCCACTCTCTCTGTACTTAAGTTTCTTCCTAAGTATATATAAATATAAAATACATCTTTCCCCTTGTACCATTTGAGAGTTAGTTGTAGATGTCATCACCTTTCTTGCCTAATTACTAGTACTTCAGAGTGTATTTTCTACCAGTCAAGGCATTTCTTTTCTTTTTTCTTTTTTTTTTTTTTTTTTTTTTTTGAGACAGAGTCTCACTCTGTTGCCCAGGCTGGAGTGTAGTGGCACGATCTCAGCTCACTGCAACCTCCGCCTCCCGGGTTCAAGTGATTCTCCTGTCTTAGCCTTCCAAGTAACTGGGATTACAGGCACGCACCACCATGCTAGGCTAATTTTTGTATTTTTAGTAGAGATGGGGTTTCACCATGTTCCTCAGGCTGGTTACAAACTCCTGACCTCAGGTGATCCACCTGCCTCAGCTTCCCAAAGTGCAGGGAATTACAGGTGTGAGCCACCATGCCCGGCCGACATTTCTTCTATAACCACATTGCAATTGCCAAAACTGGGAAATTTAACTCTGATGCGATACCATTTTCTAAGCTACAACCCATATTCAAAGTTCTCCAGTCATTCTGATAATGGTTTGTTTTTTTGAGACAGAGCCTCGCCCTGTGCGGTGGTGGATCTCGGCTCACTGCAAGCTCCACCTCCTGGGTTCACACCATTCTCCTGCCTCAGCCTCCCAAGTATCTGGGACTACAGGTGCCCGCCACCACGCCCAGCTAATTTTTTGTTTTTTTAGTAGAGACGGGGTTTTACCGTGTTAGCCAGAATGGTCTCCATCTCCTGACCTCGTGATCTGCCCGCCTCAGTCTCCCAAAGTGCTAGGATTACAGGCGTGAGCCACCGTGCCTGGCCCCGATAATGTTCTTTATAGCTTTTTTTTTTTTTTCCTGACCCAACATACTCTCTAGATTCATAACTTTCCTTTAATCCAGGACAGTCCCTCACCCACCCCTGTGTTTCATGGCAGTGACATTTTGCAAGGGTCCAGGCCAGGCTTTGTAGACTTTCTTTTTTTTCTTTCTTTTTTAGAGATGGAGTCTTTCTGTGTCGCCCAGGCTGGAGTGCAGTGGCGCAATCTCAGCTCACTGCAACCTCCACCTCCCGGGTTCAAGGGATTCTCCTGCCTCAGCCTCCTGAGTAGCTGGGACTACAGGCGCCTGCCACCACACCTGGCTACTTTTTGTATTTTTAGTAGAGATGGGGTTTCACCATATTGGCCAGGCTGGTCTTGAACTCCTGACCTTGTGATCTGCCCACCTCAGCCTCCCAAACTGCTAGGATTACAGGCGTGAGCCACTGTGCCTAGCCAGCTTGGTAGACTTTCAAACTCTTTTTGACCGTGACTTTCAGGAAGAAAGAAATACATTTTGTATTATGGCCCTGTAAACACATGTGTGTATTTATAAATGACATCAAGCCTTCATGAAATAATACTCCCAATGCTACTGTTCTGTTTTGTTAAAAAACAAAAAAATGCTGTGACTTGATTTTATTTTTTTTTAGAGGCAGAGTCTCACTCTGTTGCCCAGGCTGGAGTGCAGTGGTGGGATCATGGCTCACTGCAGCCTCGACCTCCTAGGCTCAAGGGAGAGCCCAGGCCCCCCGCCACGTAGCTGGGATTACAGGCACAGGCCACCGCACCCAGCTAATTTAAAAAAAAATTTTGTCACCAGGCGTGGTGGCTCTTGCCTATAATCCCAGGATTTTGGGAGGCTGAGACGAGCAGATCACGAGGTCAGGAGTTCAAGACCAGTCTGGCCAACATAGTGAAACCCTGTCTCTACTAAAAATACAAAAAATTAGCCGGATGTGGTGGCGGGCGCCTGTAGTCCTAGCTACTTGGGAGGCTGAGGCAGGAGAATCACGTGAACCCAGGAGGCAGAGGTTGCAGTGAACCGAGATAGTGCTACCGTACTCCAATCTGGGCGACAGAGCGAGGCTCTATCTGAAAAAAAAAAAAAAAAATCATAAAAACAAGATCTCACTTTGCAGCCCACGCTGGTCTTGAACTCCTAGACTCAAGCGATCCTCCCTTCTTAGCCTCCCAAAGCACTGGGATTACAGGCGTGAGCCACAGTGCCCAGCCTTGACCAGAAGATTTTAGTTAGACAAAGACTGCCCCCAAGGCTACTACCAGTCATGGATTTGCTAGACTCCAAGGTAGGGGCCTGTACCCTTTTATTTTCCCTAGATCCTGATCGATTTCTGGCTGTATTATTTAGGATGAGAGGGGTTATTGCTGTATAGCAAATTAACCCAGAAATCTCAGTGGCTCCATAGAACAAGCCTGACTTCTCACTCTTGCTGCCTGTCCTGTCTAGAGGGTGAAGGGTGTTATGCTCCACACGGTCTCTCAGGGCCTCAGGCAGACAGTCCTCTCCCCAGTCCATAATACATGCCTCTCCTGTCCCTGCCCATGGGAAAAAGAAAGGTTGAAAGTCCATGCAGGCTTTTCACTGCCTTGCCCAGAAGTGACGTGTCATTTCTGCAGATGTTTCATCCGCCAGAGCTTGTCAATGACCCTGGCTGACCCCAAGGGTACACTGGTTGGTGTTCCTACTGCTGTGTGTCAAATCTCTCTGCCATTAGTGGTGTTAACGGCTGTTTATGCACCCTTGAGTTCTCTCAAGCTAGTGCATTTCACCCAAGTTGACAGGTGATAATGGCATCTCCGGATTTTTCCTCTTTCTCTCTCTCTCTCAAGTGCAGCAATCCAGCTTCTACGGATACACCGGGATGCTACCCAAGCGGTACACACAGGGGGTGATGACCGGGGAGAGTGAGTATCTGCAGATCCCCGGGGAAGGGGGTGCTGAGCTGCCCTGGGCTCTGGAAGCTTCTTCCCGGGGGCTCCCCATGATGTGCCCCGGTCTGGGAGGGAGGCTCACAATCCCTGGGCACGCTGAGCTAGGGACAGGGATCGCCATCTTTCCTGGCCTGGCTGGGGGTAGAAAAGGGGTGGACTCCCACATGGGAGGGACATGTAGGCCCACACATGTGTGTGCTGTGTTTCTGGGGTGTGTGATCCTTTGTGATGGGGGAAGCTTGTGTGTCTCTGAGCATGTGGCTAGGTGTGCGTTTTGTAAGTGTGCGCACGTGTGTTAGGGAGTGGGCCCCATCCATGGCCGTGATGTCATGGACATCACGCCATGCCTACAGCACCATGCTCTCCTTGCAGCCACGGGCACACAAGCCACCCCCTGGTCAGCACCCCACGTGGGTGTCTCACGGGCTTCTCAAACTCACGTCTCCTCCCCCAACCCTGCCACTCACACCCGCCCCTTCTCAGCAAATGGCACCCTCTTGCTCATGCCTGAACCTTACATGACACCCGGCCCTTCTCCAAGTCCTAGTTCTGTCCCCTGGCCTCCAGCCCCTGCAGAGGGGCAGCACTGGCCCCTGGCAGTGACACTGTATGCGTGCAAGCCCCTTCCTCTCAGGGTCCCCAAGCTTCCTTCTGTGCCTGGACCGCCCGGGGTCAGTGCCGCCCAGGCAGGAAGCGGAAGCCCAGATCAAGACCCACGTGGGCCTGGTTCGTTTCTCCCCTTGGAGGCGTTCTGCAACCCTCTGCCTGGTGCTGAGGTAGACCAGACGCCCCGGAGCTCCCAGACTCCCATCTTGGCCGGTAGATTTTGTGGTGGGGCTGAGCCAGAGTGGGTGCAGAACTGTGCCGGCACACTGATGTCAGGTGGTTTATGGAGCCAAGGGCCCCACAGAAAAGACGCGCTCAGAGCCCTGCCCACCCTCACGGGGTGGCCCACCATGGCCCTGACCCACCCTGTCTCACACTGGGCAGTGGCCCATGGCCACACTAAGAAAAAACCCACAGCCCGCCCACCCCAAGGCCCTCCCTCCCAGCCTCGTGACCCTAATCGCAGCTTCCAGCGCCTCAAACATGAGCACTCAGCTCACAGCAGTCCCCGGCCAGGAACACCCGTCCCCAGGCTGCACTCCCGGCCCTGCCCTGCAGACCTCCGCGTCAAAGGCCCCCAATGGGACAGGGGTCCTCTAACTGCCCCCCACCTCTGCGCGCCCTCTGTTCCGTTTCTTTCTGCCCCCTGCCTGAATCACGCACAATCTTGTTTGCATCCATCCTCTTCCCACCCTGCGTCCGTGTGTCATCGTGGCCCTACTGCGTCCTCAGAGCAGGAGGGTGCAGCCACGCAGCAGGCACTGGGTAAATGCCCCACGGTGGGGGTGTGTGAGCGGCGTCGGGGTGGGGCTGCTGTGAGGGGCAGCTCCTGTGAGCAGCTCCTCTTGTGGCTGGGGCGGAGCTGGGGGCAACCGGAGTTGGGGCCGGAGAGAAACGGGACTCAGGACTTAGATGGAGCGGCAGGGAGCGTGGCTGGGAAGGGAGGTGGGGCGGGGCTGTGTGGGGCCAAGCTGAGTGGGGGTGGAGGGTGGGATGGAGCTGGGCGTGGCTGAGTAGGGGCGGAGCTGAATGGGATCGGGAAGCAGTTGGGGCGCTTACTGTAGGAATTGCTGGAAGGGGCTGGTGGAGCTGGTCTGGTTGTGGGAGCGGGGGGTTGGAAGTGGGTGGGGCCTGTGGGTGGGGGCAGGGCCGGTGGTGGAGGGCGGGGTCGGCGGTGGTGGGAGGGGCCTGTGGGTGGAAGGGGGCGCCGGTGGGGAGGGGTCTGTGTGGGCGGGGATGGGTCGGGGCGGAGTGGTGCAGGGAGCTGGGCGGGTCAGGCCCGGGCCCACTGTGTATGCCCCCCAGGCACGGCGGGCGTGATGATCTCTCTGAGCCGCATCCTCACGAAGCTGCTGCTGCCCGACGAGCGCGCCAGCACTCTCATCTTCTTCCTGGTGTCAGTGGCACTGGAGCTGCTGTGCTTCCTGCTGCACCTGTTAGTGCGGCGCAGCCGCTTCGTGCTCTTCTATACCACACGGCCGCGTGACAGCCGCCGGGGCAGGCCAGGCCTGAGCAAGGGCTCTGGCTACCGCGTGCACCACGACGTCGCCGCCGGGGACGTCCACTTTGTAAGTGCGCATCGCCCACCTCTGTTCCCTCCTCTGTCCCCACCGCGAGGTTGGGAAGTACACGCGGCCCAGCCCGTCCCCTGCACCCCAGGCTGCGGCGTCCCGCTGTGGCGGAGACCACTTCCTGCCAGCTCCCTTTATTCTGTGGACTCAGCTGTGGGTTCTTAGTGGCACCCCCACATCCCGTGGCCTGAGGCCCCACCCCGCCTGCATCTGTGGTCTGGGGCTCTGCCCAGCTGCTGTATCCCATGGCGTGAGGCGTGCGGCGTGCATGGCTCCTGTCCGCAGTGACACCCCACATGATGTACACTAAAGTTTCCATCCCTGGGACAGCCCACGTTGGTTCTGGGGGGGTCTCAGCCCTCCTGGCTGTGCCAACCCACGCTGGAGATTCCTCCTGCAAGCTCAGCCTGGCAGCAAACTCTCTAGGAAGCTCACACCCTTCCTTCCTAGAGACAGGACACCAGGAGGGAAATCAGGGCTCAGGGATAACCCTGGGTGTCCTGAGGGGGTGTAGCGGGGCCCCCAGAGTTTCCCATATAAGTCACCACCAGCCAGCCAGGAAAGGGAGTGGTCTCCCAGGTGAGGATAGGCAGAGAGGGAGGGCCAGGGGCTTGTTCTGTGGCCCCTGGTTCTGCTGGGCTTCCGTGTCACACTGCCCCTGTGGGGTCCCCAGCACAGACAGCCCTTGCCAGGAAGTGCCCTGTCCCACCATCCCTGGGGCAGGCAGCTGTCCTTGGGGGGCTGGGGTGCCCTCTGGTGGCAGCAGCGCTGCACAGCCCCCCAGGCTCAGGGCCGGCAGCTGTACAGTCCTGGGGACACCTGCAGGGTGAGGTCAGGAGTGCCAGACCATGCAGAGGCGGGATGAGGGAGCCGTTGGTCCTCATTCCTGAGGGTCCGGAACCAGAATGGTCACGCAGGCCTTGATCCAGTGAGTCACCTGGGCCCTGGGCTGGGGACACTGAAGTGAGCCAGAAACACCATCCCCAGGGGAGCACCCACACCCAGAGAGGGACCCAGGGTGGAAAGGGACAAGCCGGGGCACGGGTGCATCCCTCTCATGGCCAGGGACGTTCCCCGAGGGACTTTTGGGCTAAGACCTGACCCACAGGAAAGGTGTTGGGGTGGAGGGAAAAGTGTGTGCAGTGGCTCAGAGGCTGGGAGGAGCTCCGTGTGTTTGGAGGAGGAGTAAAGGGGTCATGGGGGACAAGATGCTCTGGTTGGTTTGGTCGGAAGCTGGTAGAGGGTTCATGGGAGTGGTGAGGTGGAATTTGCAGCATCCGAAGTGTGAGAGCCAGGCCCGATGGCTCACACCTGCAATCCTAGCTATAGAGGAGGCTAAGGTGGGAGGATCGCTTGAGCCCAAGAGTTTGAGATCAGCCTGGGCAACATAGCAAGACCCTGTCTCTACAAAAAAGAAAACAGCAAAAAAACTGGCCTGGGTGATGGCACATGGCTGTAGTCCCCGCTACTTGGGAGGCTGAGGTGGGAGGATTGCCTGAGCCCAGGAAGTTGAGGCTGCAGTGAGCTGTGACTGCACCACTGCACTCCAGCCTGGGCAGCAGAGCAAGACCCTCTCTCTAAAACAGAAATGTGAAGTGAGAGACCTTGATAAAGTGGGAGAGGGGTGTCTGCACACAGTAGGCACCACCTGAATGTCAGTGCCAGCCCCAGTGCAGCTCTTCTGATTGGGCCTGGATTCCTCTCCTGTCCTGTCCTCCACTCAAACCCCATCCCACTCTGTCCTCCCTCCAGGAGCACCCAGCCCCGGCCCTGGCCCCCAGCGGGTCCCCAAAGGACAGCCCAGCCCACGAGGTGACCGGCAGTGGCGGGGCCTACATGCGCTTTGATGTGCCGCGGCCAAGGGTCCAGCACAGCTGGCCCACCTTCAGAGGTGAGTTGGGGGGGGTCCCTCTGCAGCCCTGGTGCTGGTACCCAGGCAGGGGGTGGGAGGCAGGCAGGGGTCCCTGTGGGCACTGCCTCTGACCCCCCACCCGCCCCCAGCCCTGTTGCTGCACCGCTACGTGGTGGCGCGGGTGATCTGGGCCGACATGCTCTCCATCGCTGTGACCTACTTCATCACGCTGTGCCTGTTCCCTGGCCTCGAGTCTGAGATCCGCCACTGCATCCTGGGCGAATGGCTGCCCATCCTCATCATGGCTGTGTTCAACCTGTCAGACTTCGTGGGCAAGGTGGGCTGCCCGCCCTGCCCAGTGTCGGGGGAAGCAACGGGGTGGAGGTGATGGGGGAGGCCTTGGTCCATCCGGGAAGGGTTCTGAGTGAAGGATGCATGTGGATCCCAGGTGGAAAGGGCAAGAGCCATGCAGTGGCACCATGCCAGACAGTGTTCTGTGGAGGGTGGCCCCGGCCTGATCCCACTGGGGCACCCCGGAGTGTCAGCTGCGTCTCGGAGAACAGGTGTGGCACTCACCCTCTCGCCTCACAGTCACAGGTCCTCCGGGGATGAGCACAGGAGGATGCCCCAGAGGGGATCCAGAGAGGGCAGGGACCCTCAGAAATGGCTCAAAGAAATGGCTAGGTGCAGTGGCTCATGCCTGTAATCCCAGCACTTTGGGAGGCCAGAGATGGGTAGATTACTTGAGGCCAGGAGTTCCAGACCAGCCTGGCCAACATGGTGAAACCCCGTGTCTACTGAAAATACAAAAATTAACTGGGCATGGTGGTGTGCGCCTGTAATCCCAGCTGCTCGGGAAGCTGAGGCAGGAGAATCGCTTAAACCCAGGAGGTGGAGGGTGCAGTGAGCCGAGATCATGCCACTGCACTCCAGCCTGGGCGACAGCCTGAGACTCTGTCTCAGAAAACAGGCAAGCAAACAAAACACTTAGCCAGCCGTGGTGGCATGTGCCTGTAGTCCCAGCTACTCTGGAGGCTGAGGTGGGAGCATTGCTTGGGCCCAGGAGTTTGAGCCTGCAGTGAGCCACGATCGTGCCACTGCACTCCAGCTTGGGGGATAGACCGATACCCTGACTCTAAGGGAAAAAGTTTTAAGTGGGATTTGGGGGATTTTAGAGGGGCGATCCGGAGAAGGGCAGGGGTGCAGGCCGAGCTGGACAGACCCAGGAGTGTTTGGGGATGGGAACGTGGCTGGAGGCTGGGGGGGTTGTGAGGGGAGTGGGGGTGGCCGGGACAGGGCGCCCACATGCCTGGCTCTCTGCAGATCCTGGCAGCTCTGCCCGTGGACTGGCGGGGCACCCACCTGCTGGCCTGCTCCTGCCTGCGTGTAGTCTTCATCCCTCTCTTCATCCTGTGCGTCTACCCCAGCGGCACACCCGCCCTGCGCCACCCCGCCTGGCCCTGCGTCTTCTCGCTGCTTATGGGCATCAGCAACGGCTACTTTGGCAGCGTGCCCATGATCCTGGCGGCGGGCAAAGTGAGCCCCAAGCAGCGGGAGCTGGCAGGTGAGGCCCACGGGGCATGGAGGGGGGTGGTCCTCCCAGCAGCACAACGTCCCCCTCACGAGGAAACCCAGGGCAGACCGCAAGAAGGTGCATTTGGGTTCTGAAGGTTCAGAACAGTCAATGTCTGGGAGGCCGTAGGTGTGGAGACATTCTCAACCACTTCATTCGTTCACTCATTCATTCACTCATTCATTCGTGTACCCCACAACTATTTGGTGAGCCCCTCCTGTGGACCAAGTGCTTTTCAAGGCACTGGGGACACAGTGGCGACAAAACGGCACTCCCCGTGCTGTGGGACTGACCGTCCAGATGTGGAGGCAGCCCAGGCTGGGCGCAGTGGCTCACACCTACAATCCCAACACTTGGGAAGGGCAAGGTGGGCGGATCACTTGAGCCCAGGAGTTAAAGACCAGCCTGGGTAGCACAGCGAGAGCCTCTCCTCTCTACAAAAGTGTTAAAAATTAGCTGGGTATGGTAGCGTGTGCCTATGGTCCCAGCTACTCGGGAGGCTGAGATGGGAGGATCACTTGAGCCCAGGAGTTTGAGATTGCAGCTGTGATGACGCCACTGCACTCCAGCCTGGGTGACAGAGGAAGATCCTGTTCGAAAAAAAAAAAAAAAAAAAAATCCTAGATTGGTGTGACTGGTTGAATGGCAGGAAGTCCTATGGGGAAAAATAAAGCAGAGAAACAGGAGTGATGGGATGGGGAGAGTCAGGCTCAAGAGCCAGCAGTGTAAATGGAGCAATCTGGGAAGACCTCACTGAGGAGGTGACTTTTTTTTTTTTTTTTTTTTTTTTGAGATGGAGTCTCGCTTTGTTGCCCAGGCTGGAGTGCAGTGGCCGGATCTCAGCTCACTGCAAGCTCCGCCTCCCGGGTTCATGCCATTCTCCTGCCTCAGCCTCCCGAGTAGCTGGGACTACAGGCACCCGCCACCACGCCCGGCTAATTTTTTGTATTTTTTAGTAGAGACGAGGTTTCACCGTGTTAGCCAGGATGGTCTCGATCTCCTGACCTCATGATCCACCCATCTCGGCCTCCCAAAGTGCTGGGATTACAGGCTTGAGCCACCGGGCCCGGCCAGGAGGTGACTTTTGAGCAAAGACCTGGAGGTAGTAGTGAGGGAGACAGCCATGTGAGGATGCAAGGGAAAGGCGTCCAGGCAGAGGGAATGGCATGTGCAAAGGTCCTGCGGGCACTGAGGCCAGGGGCTGGAGAGGAGAGGAATGGGGTCTGATGGTTGATAAAGCATTCCTCCAGCTGCTGTGGGCATGGAGGTGAGTGAGGAGCTACTTTACCAGTCCTTGAGGACGGGGCCCAGACCTGGAGGAGGTCGACGTGGCACTGGGAGGTGCCAGATTCCAGGTCTTGTTTGGACAGCAGCCCACAGGACCGGCTGACGGGTTGAGAGGTAGGGTGTGAGAGAGGGAAGGGGGCTTCAGGTTTGGGGTCCACTGTTCAAGGCAAGAAGGCTGGCACTGGCCCAGACTGAGATGGGAAGGGGCCTTGCGGGGAGGGGTTGGGGTTGGGTTTGGGATTTGGTATGTTCCAGGTGCCCATTGGACATCCCAAATTGTCCCTGATAGGGAGGAAGCTGGAGATCGGAGACTGGAGATTTTTTTTTTTTTTTTTTTTTTTAAGATGGAGTCTTGCTCTGTTCCCCAGGCTGGAGTGCAGTGGCACGATCTCGGCTCACTGCAATCTGTGTCTCGCAGGTTCAAGCAGTTCTCGTGCCTCAGTCTCCTGAGTAGCTGGGATTATGGATGCCCACCACCACATCTGGCTAATTTTTGTATTTTTAGTAGAGGTGAGATTTCACCATGTTGGCCAGGTTGGTCTCGAACTCCTAACCTCGGGTGATCCGCCCACCTCAGCCTCCCAGTGCTGGGATTACAGGCGTGAGCCACCATACCTGGCTGAGACTGGAGATTAAAATGGGGAGGGTTGGGGCCAGCCGCACTGGCTCAGGACTGTGATCCCAGTGTTTTGGAGGCCAAGGTAGAAGTATCCCTTGGGCCCCGGAGCTTGGGACCAGCCTGGGCAGTATAGTGAGACTGAGTCTCTACAGAAATTTCTTTTACATTAGCCAGGCGTGGTGGTATGTGCCTGTGGTCCCAGGTATTTGGGAAGCTGAGGTTGGGGGATCACTTGAGCCCAGGAGGTCAAGGCTGCAGAAAACTGTGACTGTACCACTGCACTCTAGTCGGGGCAACAGAGCAAGACCTTGTCTTTAAATTTTAAAAATGGGGGTTTGGGGGACCCAGAGAAGCAGGCGAGGCCTGGTGTGCATAGCAGATGGCCCCGGGGAGAAGGAATGAGGAAGGACAGGATCCGGAGAGGGTGCTCCCACGCAGAGCGATGGGACAGCGGGTCCTGGAGGGGCGGCTCGGTTCACACGGGTGTCACCGCACCTCACACCCGAGCAGCCGTGGCCACCAGGTGGTCGCCCCGGCCCTGCTCCCCTCAGGCCAGTGTTGTCCACAGGGAACACCATGACCGTGTCCTACATGTCGGGGCTGACACTGGGGTCCGCCGTGGCCTACTGCACCTACAGCCTCACCCGCGACGCCCACAGCAGCTGCCTGCACCCCTCCACCGCCAATGGCTCCATCCTCTCAGGCCTCTGAGCCAGCTCTGCCCACTGCCAGGGACGCCGAGGGCCTGACCAGGGGCCCCGAGGCCTGAAGGCCCCTCCCCCGTCCCCACCTCAGTGCCTGCGGGGCCCTGAGCCTCTCCCTGTGCCAGCAGCGCCACCCCCTCTGGGTCCAGCCATCCCCAATCCTGGCCTGAAGTTCTGCAAAGTCCTTCGAGGACTGGGACACATTTCTGTGACCCGGGGCTCTGGCCAGCACTGTGTTCTGTGTTTGGTCTCATACCTGCCTCTACCTTCCATCTGTGTCCAGCGGCCCCAGCTCCAGCCCAGCCAGCACTCTGCGGGGTCACAGGCACCGTGTCCCCACCCAGGACAGCAGGCGCCCGCCAGAGTGTGCGTACCCGGTGACTGCACCCCGGCCCTCATCACCCGCTGCCACTGATCGGGGCACCACCTGGCCAGCCTCCAGCAAGGACCCCTCATGAACCCTGGAGCCCTGAGAGGAGAGGGGCAGCCCCCCACCTTGTCACCCTCAGGCCTCCCCCTTCTGTCCTCATTCTTAGAGACTGCTTCTCCCAAACAAAACGCGTTAGCCATGAAGGAGTTGGAGCCCTGGGTCCGAAGGGGACCCGCCTGCGGTCTGCATCAGCCTCTCAGGAACCACAGCAGTGGTGCCAGCCAGGCACATCAGGACCTCCCCACACACCCACGCGATGCCACAGGCCAGGGGGCTGTGCCTGACTAGGGAACCCTCCCATTGCTGCCTTGGCCCATGACAGAAGAGGGGAGGTAAGTCTGGGGGCTGCGAAGTAGGGCCCCCACACCCCGGCTGAAGTCAACTTGACCTAGGTCTTGACCCTCATCCAGCAAGGGACCCGACAGACCCAAGGGTCCCTAGCAAGTAGGGAGAGGCTGGGGGTACTCCAGCCTGGGTCCCCCAGAACACCAGGCCCGTGTGGGTGGCACCCTGAGGTTGGGGGATTCTAAGGGTGTCCTTGCCGAGACAGCGTTTCCAGGGGGAGGATGGCCCACCGTTACAGAACCCCGGCCCTGGCTGTGACTGCCCTGTTTCAACCCTGCTGTGTCCCGTCACCCGTCTGTCCACTAACTGTACCGCACTGGCCATTAAAAGATAAAGCAGACCGCTGCACTGCCGCCTCCAAGCAGAGTTTGTGCGTGGACGGGGGCCGGGACTGCCATCTTGGGATCCCGGTGGAACTCGGGTCGCCCCCGTGTAAGCCAGACCTCAGTCTTTCCATCTGCGAGGTGGGCGGGGCGGATCAGGGAGCAGGAGGGTGTCCTCATACCAGGTAGGCTTGGTTTGTGGGCAGGGCTGGGTGGTGGGCTGACAGCTGGGAGCACTTGTGGTTTGTCGCTCACCTTGACCCCCCAGTCTCCGTGAGGATCAGGGAGGATGGCTGCATTCAGCCCATTTGAAGGGGAAACAAAGCGGGCGTGATTTGTCCCCTACCCCTCAGGGACTACACTGCGTCCTAGGAGTCAGAGCCTCCTGGCCTCGAGCCTCAGCCCTTTTACTGATCTGTGCAATTTGGACGAAATCCTGCCCTGTTCCATTCCTGATTTTCTTTCTTTTTTTTTTTTTTCTTTGAGCCTGAGTCTCGCTCTGTTGCCTAGGCTGGAGTGCAGTGGCACGATCTTGGCTCACTGCAACCTCCGCCTCCCAGGTTCAAGCAATTCTCCTGCCTCAGCCTCCCAAGTAGCCGGGATTACAGGCGCCTGCCACCATACCTGGCTAATTTTTCTTGTGGAGACGGGGTTTCACCATGTTGGCCATGCTGGTCTCAAACTCCTGACCTCAAGTGATCCACCTGTCTCATCCTCCCAAAGTGTTGGGGGATTACAGGCGTGAGCCACTGCACCCGGCCTGTGCCTCATTTTTGTTTTTTCTTTATGAGACAGGCTCTCGCTCTGTCGCCGAGGCTGGAGTGCGGTGGTGCCATCATAGCTCACTGCAGCCTCCACCTCTTGGGCTCCTGTGATCCTCCCACCTCAGCCTCCCAAATAGCTGTGAATACAGGCACGTGCCACCACGCCTGGCTAGATTCTTTTATTTGGTGTAGAGATGGGATCTTGCTGTTGCCCAGACTGGTCGCAAAGTCTGGGCCTCAAGTGTTCCTCCTGCCTCGGTCTCCCAGAGTGCCAGGATTATAGGTGTGAGCCACTGTACCCAGCCTGTTCTGTCCTTAGTTTCCCCAAGCAGTGAGGCTGGTCCAGGTTTTGATGTGGGTCCCTTAAAGGAGGGCAGAAGGGCCACCTGTGCTCCGGGTCTGCAGCCTCCAGGATACAGGGCAGGCATCCTCCCTGGGGTCCAGGTGGGCGGCCACTTGGGCCGACTACACCAGGTGACACCACAGCCTTTCCCATAGCCCACGCCGGGCCCTTCCCTTGCCTGAGGCCAGCTGGCTGCCCTCTCTGGGTTACCCTCTTTGCAAAGCCCCAATTGTCCTCTGCAGGCCACCCACACGAACCAGGTCAGTCGCTAGGCCAGACCCCCACCTGTAGCTTCCCTAGGCCCCAGTGCAGAGGCTGTCCACCCCCATCTAGGTGATGGCTTGGGGCCACTCTTACCATTAGTATCATTTTCTTCAGTTGTGATAGGCGTGGCTGGGAATGTGCAGCTTTACTTTTTTTGGGGGGGAGAGGGGAAAGTTTCGCTTTTGTTGCCCAGGCTGGAGTGCAGTGGCTCGATTTCAGCTCACTACAACCTCTGCCTCCCGGGTTCAAGCGAGTCTCCTGCCTCAGAATCCCGAGTAGCTGGGACTACAAGCATGTGCCACCATGCCCGGCTAATTTTGTGTTTTTAGTAGAGATGGGGTTTCTCCATGTTCGTCAGGCTGGTCTCAAACTCCCGACCTCAGGTGATCCACCCATTTCAGCCTCCCAAAGTGCTGGGATTACAGGCGTGAGCCACCGTGCCTGGAATTGTTTTTTTGAGATGGAGTCTTGACTTGTTGCCCAGGCTGGAGTGCAGTGGCACGATCTCAGCTCACTGTAACCTCCGCCTCCCGGGTTCAAGCAGTTCTCCTGCCTCTGCCTCCCAAGTAGCTGGGATTACAGGCGTGCACCACCACACCCAGCTAATTTTTTTGTATTTTTAGTAGAGATGGGGTTTCACCATATTGGCCAGGCTGGTCTCGAACTCCTGACCTCAAGTGATCTGCCTACCTCAGCCTCCCAAAGTGCTGGGATTTTACAGGCATGAGCCACCGTGCCCAGCCAACTTAACTTTTTTTTCTCATGTAAATTTGCTCAAAAAAATTTTTTTTGAGACCATCTCTCTCTGTCACCCCCAGGCCAGAGTGCAGTGGTACAATCTCAGCTCACTGGAACCTCTGCCTCCCGGGTTCCAGTGATTCTCCCACCTCAGCCTCCCGAGTAGCTGGGATTACAGGTGTGTGCCACCACACCCGGCTGATTTTTGTATTTTTAGTAGAGACAGGGTTTCACCACGTTGCTCAGGCTGGTCTCTAACTCCTGGCCTGAAGTGATCCTCCCACCTCGGCCGCCTAAAGTGCTGGGATTCAGGCGTGAGCCACCGTGCCCAGCTGGTTAGTTCATTTAGATGGCCATCAGGTCACTGCCCCTGCATGGGTGGTACCCAACTTCCAGTCGAATCCTACTTCTCAGTGCCCTGCTATGGCAGAATCCCCCCAGATACCACCCCTACTCCAGCCCCTGAAATAAACCACTCCAAACCATTTTATTTTTCCAATTAAATCTTTTTCTTTTTTTTCTTATGAAAAAAGATCACACAGAATTTGCCAACAAACAAAATTCCAAAAGAAACTTAAAAAAAAAAAAATTCCCCCAAAAAACAAACCCAAAGTCTGGCTTTTCCTTCCCTCAAGATTGTCTGGTTGAGGCCTTGGTTTCCCTGGAAGGCTTGGGGCCTGGTTAAGTGCTTTCTGCGGCCCAAGCAGGGACCCTGGGCTCGGGCCGGCTCCTGCCTCTCTCCCTCTTCTCTCCCTCTTTTCTCTATCCTGGGGGGCGAGTACAGTACACTTGGCGGGGTGGGTGGGGCTGTGCTGGGGACTGGGAGGCCGGTGAAGCCGGTGCTAGACACTACAATCTAACAGGAAATAAAAAATAATATTCTGCACGTCAGAATGTGTTCTTTTTTTTTTTTTTTTAAATTTCATAGCTATTTTTCACAGTTTTAAAAAGTTTATATTTATATATATTTATATATATTTATCTTTATATATATAATTAAAAAGTTGACTCCATTTAAAGGCTTATGATACAGGGGCGGGGCGAGTCTCTTGGTACAATAAAACTGTACAGGTTAAGAAGTGCCACCTCCCTCCTGGGTGGGGAGGGGCCGGGCGTGGCCGGGCAAGGGTTTCAGCACCATTGGGGTTTTTCTGTAGTGTGAGGGTTTGGACCAGGGTGGGCCTTTGCTGGGCCCAATCCACCTGGTGCCTTTGATGCTCCGGGCTGCAACCCCACCCGGCTCTGTTCCCCAAGTCCAGGCCATCCTGAGAGGGTGGGGGCAGGGCCCCTGGCACGGTCAAGGAGGCCGGCTGGCATCGGGCCACCCCGTCCCATGCACAGTGGGAGGCCTTGGGGTGGGCTCCATGCTAAGGGTGCCCGGGAAGCCCAGAGTGAACGTCAGTTTGGTTCCTTAGAAGCCCCCCTCCCCACCAGAATCCCCAGTCTGCATGGGCCTGGGGGCCCCCGGGCCCCCACGCAGCAGCAGCCTGGAGGGCCGGCCTGGCCAAGTGCTTGCAACGTGCTGGGCAGGAAGGGCCGGTCCCGGCCGAGGCTGCCCTGAGGGGGACGGCAGGGCCATACCCTGATAGCTAAGAGGGGCCCCTGTCCTAGGGGCACTGAGGGGTTGGAAGGTGGGGCTGGAGGCTTGTGCACGTGTGCACACACGTGCATGCACATGGGCACACACATGCACACACACGCTCACCCGGGCGTCAACGTGCACACCTGGCCCCATGCACATGCCTGCAGGAGCGCTCGCATGCACACAACGCACGTGGTCCCCGCGCCGTGGCAGTGATGGAGAGGGGTCCCTGGCCATCCTCGGGGCACAGGTGGCCAGTGGCCTGTGGGGCCCGGTGGGCTCAGCAGAGCACGGGCACGCCGTCCGTGGAGAAGATCATGCCCGTGGTGGGCTCGTAGGTGCCCGCGAGGTAGTACAGGCCCTCGCTGTCCTGGTACTTCTTGGTCTTCAGCATCTGCTCATACTGCTCCAGGCCCACCACCAGGCACTTGTGTGACACCGTCTGCACGTCATTCTCGTCCACATGTGAGGACTGGTACAGCGCGCGCTGTGGGCACGCAGGGATATCAGGATGGCAGGTGGAGGGAACAGAGGCCGAGGGAGCCCCGGGGAGCCACAGGGACAGAGACAGAAGCAGAGGGAGCCCCAGGGACCGAGACAGAGACAGAGACCACGTTGGAGACAGAGGCTGAGGAAGAGACAGACCAACAAAAGAGAGACAGAGACTGAGAGATGGAGAACAAATGAGAGAAAGAAGACAAGGACAGACAGACCAAGAGATCCAAAGACCCAGAGAGACACAGACTGAGAGAGAGACTGAGAGAGACCCAGAGGCCGAAAGACAGAGATTGGGAGAGACCCAGAGAGAGTCAGAGGGTAAGAATGGCCGGAGACTCAGGGACAGACACTGGGAGAGCAGAGGAGACCCAGAGATGGAGACAGACGCAGAGACTGGGAGAGACAGAGAACAGGAGCCAGGCACTGAGAGTGGCAGGGACAGGAGGTCAGAGGCCGAGGGAGACCATGGGGGACAGCAGCGGATGCTGAGCCAGGCCCTGTCTGAGCTGCCCGGAAGGAGGCAGCCACCCCCAACCTGCCCACCACCACCACCACCACCACCACCTACCTCCATGAAGTCCTTCCTCTGGCTGGAGACCCGCAGGGCCGCCGGGAGGCTGCGGCTGGACTTCTGGTCCCAGTGCTGTGTGGGGGACAGGGAGGGGCTTGGGTGAGCTGGGGGAGCCGCCGCACCTGACCCCAGGCCCCAGGACAGGGCTGACCCACTGGGCAGGGCCACTGATCCTCCAGCACCCAGAATGCCTCGCTCGCCCTCAGGTCTGCCCTCCACTGCCTAGGACTGGGGAGCCCAGCCGGGGGTGCCGCAGGCTCACCTGGCCCTGGTG